ACGAAACATAAAAGCATGAATTTATATATACATTTTTGTTTTTTTTTTTCGAATATGGCAACATTGATCTTGATTAAGTGAGAAGAATGGAACGAACTGTTTGTCCTCTCATCGCAATTGCAAATAGTAATAGCATGGGCAAAAGACACAACAAAAGTAAAGATAGCTTACCGTTTGGCTCCAACGACGAAAGATCTTTCAGCGGAGTGCCTGGAACTAAATGTGGGACGTAAAGCAAAACACATGCCTTAGTTATTACTTTTTTTTTTTTTTTACCGTTTGACTTTATGTATTAAAGTAAGATCAATTGCTCTTGCATTATAAACTTTTTGAACTGGCATTTCTCTTTGGCCACGCCGGTGAGGTGAAAATGTAACCGAACGTATGCAACTTTTAAGGCATTCGTAAACTCGCATGCGATTTTTTTCTTTGCACCTTCACCCGTATGAATTCTCGCGCGTAGAATGATCAATAATCATGCAAAGTTTCACTGTACACTTAATAGATGCTCGTATAACTAAATTTACATAGCTAAATATTTAAAACCGCTTAAATTTAAGTAGAAAGTTATAGAACTCCTTTCTTTCCACCTCCTATTTTACATAATTTTTCTGACTTTTAGTTTAGTTTTAATCGTAATTCTTCACTTTTCACTGCAGTGGCTTTACTTGTATATTAGACACTAAAATTCATTTGTTAATATACCTATTTATGTATGTATATGTAACACTTCGTTTTCACATTTTTCAATCTTAATTAAAATATAACAGGGTTTCGCATTTCTTTCTCTAATTAAAGATTGAATTAGTTTTAAGAAAATTCGCCGAATTTTTGCGAATATATGAATGTGTACCACCTTAAAAATAATTTTTCCACTGCGAGGGTAGCTCAAAGACTACTTTTCGCTTTTCAAACACCCGAACTACACACTGGTCCGCATGGCCACTGGAATATTCTGCATCCAAAAAGAAACTAGTTTAAAAAATGTGCCCAGGAAAACTGCCAGATCCATCGCAAAACGTTCCCCAAAGGTGTACGCAAAATTTTGGATTTTTCATGGATCCAAGGTTGAGTCTTTACGTTATTTTAATTTTATGTTTAGTTTTTTTTTTAATGACTAAATTATTATTTTTTTTTTTTTAAACCGCGAAATTTTCAAATTTTTTTTTTTTTTTTTTTACTTCAACATGGCTTTGTGTGTACAGCTGTATAGCTGTGTATTTTTTTTTTTTTTTAAGCCTTTAAAATTTTTCGGGAGATGTTGATTCGTTGAGATCTAAAAACCGAATAATCTCGACTCCTTCGCCGCCAAGAACCGCTAAGCTCCCGTTTGCAAAAATCATTTTCTTTTCTTTCTTTTTTTTTCGCCTAATCATCGCGAGTGGCGTGATCTTTTTTGGGAAAATAAAAGGCAATAGGATAAATGTCAGTGTGAACATTGATATTGTTTGCAGCAAATATCTAGTTGTTATTGCTTAGCAAGTGACACCACCGGAAGTTCCAATTTACGATATGAATGAAAAAA